GGTCCACTCTCTGGCCATGGCAGTGACAAGGAGACGTCATTTCAATAGAACTGCTGGACAGGCCGAGCGTGGTGGCTCACGCTTATAATCCCATCTCTTTGGGAGGCCAAGGCGAGGAGATCACTTGAGATCAGGAACTTGAGATCAGCCTGGGCAACATAACAAGATCCCATCACTACAAAAAATTTAAAAATTAGCCAGATGTGCTGGTGCATGCATGTAGTCCCAGCTACTCAGGAGGCTGAGGCAGGAGGATTATTTGAGGCCAGGATTGGAGGTGCAGTGAGCTATAATGGCACCACTGCACTCCAGCCTGGGCAGCAGAGCAGGACTCCATCCCTTTAAAACAAACAAGGAAACCAAATAAAGAACTGCTGGACAGAGGAAGAAGACAGTGCAGCCCCAGAGAAGGAGCCACCATGGATGGTCTTGGAGGTGCATCACCCAGATCTCCCCTTATGAGAACCTTCTGGGAAGAGATCCAGCGTCCCCACGTTCAGGACCTCCACAATATTTGCTCTAAGGGAGTACTCTTTCCAGGCTACACCCAGGCAGTCACTGAGAACGGTCAGGTTAATCAAGCCAGGCCATTCCTGCCTGACAAAGCATGTTTCTTCCAATGTCACTTGCCTGTAGCCTAAGCCTTCTCCCATTAAATCTCCCTTCCTTCCCTCTTCCCTTTCATGTGTATCAGACCAGCATTGTGGTCTGAAGGCTCCCCTGGCCTATCTCTGCTCACTCTTACCTTTACTCTTCACAAGTATTTCTCTCAACTCATTTCCGGGATTTTGTTTGTTTTAGAGGAGTCTTGCTTTGTCACCTAAGATAGAGTGCAGTGGCATGACTGTGGCTCACTGCAGCCTGAGATTCCTGGGCTCAAGCATTCCTCCTACCTCAGCCTCCTGAGTAGCTGGGATTACAGGCATGAGCCACCATGGCCCTGCTAAATTTTTTTTTTTTAATTTCTTGTACCGATAGGGCCTTGCTATGTTGCCCAGGCTAGTTTTGAACTCCTGGCTTCAAGCAATTCTCCCAACTCAAAGTGCCAGGATCACAGGCATGAGCCACCGTGCCTGGCTGATAAATTTCTTGGATGTCTACTTCACACACCCTGGTATTTGCTTCTTATAGAGGCCAAATTAACACATCATCCAAATATGAGAAAAACTCAGAGCCCCTGGGCCCCTGTGGTGGATAATCAAAGGGGAGTGTGGCTTGGTGATAGTTTCCTGGGCTAGAGAAGAAAACCAAGCTCATCTTCTAAGGATCATCACATGGGGAGTGCATCTTGGGAAAATAAATAGACATGGCATGGGGCAAGGTTGTTAAGACTTAACAGGGTCATTCTATTAAAAGTCAGGATAACAGCTACATTTGGTAGATAATATTTGCAGGGAGGGACATGAAAGAGAATTTCTGGAGTGCTGGTAATGTTCTGCTTCTGATCCGCGTGCTGATTAAACATGTGCTCTGTTTGTGACAATCCATCAAGGTGTTTGTTTGTGATCTGTGTGGCTTTCATGTGTTTTTTCTCATTAGAAAGTTAGAGAGAAAGAAACGAGGTCTATTTATGGCATCTAACACCTTTTTTAGGGACGCAAAATTCAAGGGCTGCTCTCTATAGTATAGGATGCGGTGTTATTGTAATTAATTAATAACTATTAATTATATAACTATTCATTATAATTAATACAATACATAAGTATATAATAATTAATATACCAATTAATTATAATTAACAATTATAAATAATTGTGGTGTAATTATAATTAATAATAATTAGGCTGGGCACAGTGGCTCATGCCTGTAATCCCAGCACTTTGGGAGGCCGGGGTGGGTGGATCATGAGGTCAGGAGATCCAGACCATCCTGGCCAACCCGGTGAAACCCGTCTCTACTAAGAAATACAAAAATTAGCTGAGTGTGGTGGCATAGCAGTGCCTGTAGTCCTAGCTGGTGCCTGTAGTCCCAGCTACTTGGGAGGCTGAGGCAGGAGAATTGCTTGAACCCGGGAGGCGGAGGTTGCAGTGAGCTGAGATCGCGCTACTGCACTCCAGCCTGGCACCTGACAACAGAGTGAGACTCTGCCTCAAAAAAAATAATAATAATAATAATTAATGCAATGCATTAATTAACAGTGATGAAGTTAGGACATACTCTGTGAAGGGCCACCCAGGAGCTCCAGGGATCCCTGATTTGAACTTGGTCATCCTTAACAAAGAACCCTAAGGCTATTTATCTCTGGGTCCATACTTGCTAACAGAGATTCTAGACCCATCTAACATATATGCCCTTCCCAGCCAAACTTCAGTTAAATAAATAAATGACTCCCTTATATCTTGACATTTTGGATGTGTCAGAAAGAGAAGAAATAGAGAGTTCTACAATCCTTGGGATTGCCTGGGGCAGGGTGCAGTGCTTGACTTTGAAAGCGTGATGTGTAGCTCTGAGAGAGAATGGATCTGCCCGGGCGGAGAAATGTGGATATATGTTTGACAAATCAATTCTCTTTCTTGGAGGAGAGAGGGGAGGCTCCCTCAGAGGTCAGGCAGCTTAATTACCACACGCAAAGCAGGGCAGAGGGGTCCTGCAGCATCAAGGGGTGTCCTCACGGTGATGCTTGCACAGGGACTCGCTGGCATCACCTGGTCGTCTGGGAGCCACCTCAGGGAGCCTCTGAAATTAATGACATCCTCACCTCCATGAGCAGGGCCAGCCTCTGCCTGCAGTCTCACGGGTTCAGAAACGTCTCTCAGCTAAAAGGCACAGAGCTCTCTGATAAACAGGGAAGGGCTCCCGTTGGATCAGAGGAGCCTGCCCAATGGCTGCTTTCTCCTGTCCGTTCAGGTGATTACCCACCCGCAAGGTGCTCTCCTTGAGTGCCCTCCTTGAGTGCCCGTGACCGGGGTTGTTGACGTCTTTCCCACAGGCAGAGGGAGCTGGCATTTTGGCATCCGAGCAAGTGACAGTAATTATGCCCTCAGATCAACAGCAGCACTTTAAGAGGCAGAACACTACACAGACTAAGACCCTGGGTTAAAACTGTGGAAGACAATGTGGCGATTCCTCAAAGACCTGGAGGCAGAAATACCATTTGACCCAGCAATCCCATGACTGGATATATACCCAAAGGAATACAAAGCATTCTGTCACAAAGATACATGCACGCGTATTGTATGTATCACTATTCACAATAGTAAAGACACAGAATCAACCTAAACGCCCATCAGGAGAGACTGGATGAAGAAAATGTGGTACGTTACACCATGGGGTACTATGCAGCCATAAAATGAAAGGAGACCATGTCTTTTGCAGGGACATGGATGGAGCTGGAAGCCATTATCCTCGGCAAACTAACACAGAAACAGAAAACCAAACACCACAGTTCTCACTTATGAGTGGGAGCTGAACAATGAGAACACATGGACACAGGGAGGGGAACATCACACACCAGGGCCTGTCGGGGGCTGTAGGGGGAGGGAGTGTATCGTGATAAATAGCTAATGCATACAGGGTTTAATACCTAGATGATGGTTGAGAGGTGCAGCAGACCAACACGGCACACGTTTACCTATGTAACAAACCTGCATATCCTGGATATGTATACCAGAACTTAGAATTAAATTAAATTTAAAAAGTTTTAAAAAGCTTATTGTAGCACTTACCCCAAGAGGGTTATGATAATTAAATTAGTTAATACGTATAGACAGCTGGTTTTTTTTTTTTTTTCTAAGAAAAAAAGGTGCATTGACCAGACACAATGGCATCACACCTATAATTCCAGCACTTTTGGAGGCCGAGGTGGGAGGATCACTAGAGCCCAGGAGTTCAAGACCAGCCTGGCCAACATGGTGAAACCCTGTCTCTACTAAAAATACAAAAATTAGTTGGGCATGATGGAGGGTGCCTGTCATCCCAGCTACTCAGGAGGCTGACGCAGGAGAATCGCTTGAAACTGGGAGGCGGAGGTTGCAGTGAGCGGAGATTGTGCCATTGCACTCCAGCCTGGGCAAGAGAGCAAGACTTTGTCTCAAACAAAAACAAAAACAAGACACCAATATCCCTCATCCTCCATCTGAACATTTAATTTGCTGTGCCTGCACTGAATTTTTAATAACTAATTTTAGAGCCATTGGGCACAAAATTAAATTTATCACAAGTCTTGGTGATTGACACACTGTCTGTGTGGACTCTAGACTGGTCTTCTGGTCTTCTTTTGATTTATTTCATTAATATTTATTTACATATCAATTTATTAATTAAAAATCATTCTCACACATGTAATCTCAGCATTTTGAAAGGCCAAGGTAGAAAGATCACTTGAGACCAGGAGTTTGAGACTAGCCTGGGTAACACAGCAACACCCTGTCTCTACAAAAAAAAAAATAATTAACTAGAAATAGTGTGTACCTGTAGTCCCAGCTACTCAAGCGGCCAAGGAGGGAGACCCTTACTCTAAAATATGTCTTTTTTTCTTTCCTTCCTTCCCTCCCTTCCCTCCTGCCTTTCTTCCCTCCCTCTTTCTTCCTTTCTTCCTTTCCTTCCCTCCATCCCTCCCTCCCCCTCTCTTTCTTTCTTCCTTCCTTTCTTTCTTCTCTCTCTCTCCCTTTTTTTCTTTTTCTTTTTTTTTTTTTGAGACAGGGTGTTTCTCTGTCACCCAGGTTAGAATGCACTGGCATGATCATAGCTCACTGCTGCCTTGACCTCCTGGGCTCAAGCAATCCTCCACCTCAGCCTCCCAAGTAACTGGGTATAAAGATCCCATCTCTAAAATAAAACAAAATAAAAATAAAGATGTGTTCCACCATACTTGCTGATTTTTTTTTAATTTTTGCAGAGACAGGGTCTTGCTATGTTGCCCAGGCTGGTCTCAAACTCCTGGCCTCAAACAGTCCTCCCACCTGGGCCTCACAAAGTATTAGGATTACAGGCATGAGCCACTGTGCCCAGCCCATCATTAATATTTCCCAGTGTCTGTAAGTGTGTTTAGAGGCTCAGCTCTATTCCGGGAGCCAGAAAAGGCTGTGCGCCTCTGGTTCAGAAGGCTTGCAGTCCGCTGTGACCTGGGGCTCAATTCCAAGACCCAGAATCCTCCTTTTCTATATTTAGTGAGGACGTGAATCAAGGCTCAAAGTCCAAAAATGAGTATTTTTTATTTTTTTGAGATGGACTCTCACTCTGCCAGCCAGGCTGGAGGGCAATGGCACAATCTTGACTCACTACAATCTCTGCCTCCTGGGTTCAAATGATTCTCCCACCTCAGCCTCATGTGTAGCTGTGATTTCAGGCATCCACCATCATGCCCTGCTAATTTTTGTACTTTTAGTAGAGATGGGGTTATGCCATGTTGGCCAGGCTGGTCTCAAACTCCTGACCTCAGGTGATCTACCACCTCGGCTTCCCAAAGTGCTGGGATTACAGGTGTCAGCCACTGTGCCCGGCCACAAAAATGAGTATTAAAAGTAAACTATATTGGCTGGATGCAGTGGCTCACGCCTGTAATCCCAGTACTGTGGGAGGCCGAAGCAGGCAGATCACCTGAGGTCAGGAGTTCAAGACCAGCCTGGCCAACAGGGCAAAACCCCATTTCTACTAAAAATACAAAATGAGCCAGGCATGGTGGTAGACACCTGTATCCCAGCCACTCAGGAGGTTGAGGCAGGAGAATTGCTGGAATCCAGGAGGCAGCAGCTGCAGTGAGCCAAGATCGCGCCACTGCACTCCAGCCTGGGCAACAAAGCAATACTCCATCTCAAAATAAACAAACAAACAAACTATATCTAAAAGAATTGAAATCATAAAAAGAATTAAAAATGAAAGAGTGGGGGGAAAAGTCACCCATGTCCTCTTGGGCATGCGTTGCTTATCCCACCCCACTGGTGTACAACTGGCATCAGTAGAGAAACACTGCCTAACGTATTTTGGGTAATTCATGCTGTCTTTATCTGACCCTTGCTTTTTTTTCTGAATGCAGACAGATGCCCAACTGGTCTGACTTTAGGCAACTTTGAGCTTTTGTTCTTTTTTTTTTTTTTTTTTTTTTTTGAGAGGGAGTCTCCGTCTCTCACCCAGACTGGAGTACAATGGCACGGTCTCGGCTCACTGCAACCTCCGTCTCCTGGGTTCAAGCGATTCTCCTGCCTCAGCCTCCTGAGTAGCTAGGATTACAGGCATATACTACCATGTCTGGCTAATTCTGTATTTTTAGTAGAGACAGGGTTTCTCCATGTTGGTCAGGCTGGTCTTGAACTCCCAACCTCAGGTGATCCGTGATCCACCCACCTTGGCCTCCCAAGGTGCTGGGATTACAGGCATGAGCCACCGCACCAGGCTGCGTTTTTATTCTTTCCTAACCCCGGTGTTAACCCAGGCACCCCTGTTACTTGTCCACTTGGTGCCGTGCGCGAGCAGTGGTGTTACCTTTCCAGGCTTAGATTTACCTCACACACCTTCCCTGCTGACGTTGCTTCTACTCTCTTCTCTCTCCCTCTCCCGGTTTTTCTTTCTTCCTCCTTGATTGCACAAAACACTAGTTTGCTAATATCCCATTTCAGAACACCTTTGGTCTTTAGAAAAATCCATGGTTTGGGCCGGGCGCGGTGGCTCAAGCCTGTAATCCCAGCATTTTGGGAGGCCGAGGCGGGTGGATCACGAGGTCAAGAGATCGAGACCATCCTGGTCAACATGGTGAAACCCCGTCTCTACTAAAAATACAAAAAATTAGCTGGGCATGGTGGTGCGTGCCTGTAATCCCAGCTACTCAGGAGGCTGAGGCAGGAGAATTGCCTGAACCCAGGAGGTGGAGGTTGCGTTGAGCCGAGATCGCGCCATTGCACTCCAGCCTGGGTAACAAGAGTGAAACTCCGTCTCAAAAAAAAAAAAAAAAAATCCATGGTTTGGTTCTGTTGAACCTGAACAGGAAAATGCACACACCCGTGTTTCTGTCTGTATGCCAAATTACATCCCGACGCATCACCCCTGACATTAGCGCTTGCCTGGCTCACACGCCGGCACAATTTTCAATTGTCTAATTTTTCTTCACGATCAATAGAAGACTGAGAAAAAGATACCCTAACATCTGCTGAGTTATTAGGCAACTCATTATTATACGAACTCACTACCGGGGTTTTCTGCAGAGCATCTCCGCAGATCTTCCCCAGGAAGAGTTCACAGGGAGCTCTACACTCATCTGTTCATGGGGGAATTGATACAGGCAAATCTCATGAATGTCAAAGGAAAATGCTCAAGATGCCTCCTTTGCTACATTTCTAAGGGCGACAAAGCTCACGCTTAAAAGGCAATAAGGTGATGTAAGAGAGTAACACCAGAGCAGTCAATTGTAGATGGAGAAAGGGACAGAGATGGACAGAGAGACAGTGTCTGGGAAGAATGGAGAGGGGAAAGAGAGAGAGAGGAAAAGAGGGAGAGGGAGAGAAAGAAGAGAGGGAAACGGGGGGGGGAGAGAGAGGAACAGAAGGGGAGAAGCAAAGGGAAAAGAGAAAGAGAAGGAGGGGGAAACAGAAAGAAGAGAGAGGGAAAGAGAAAGGAGAGAGAGGAGAGGAATAGAGGGAGAGGGGGAGACGGGAGGGGGAAGAGAAGGAGGGAGAGAGGGAGAGAGGTAGAAGAGAGAGGAGAGAAAGAGAGGGTGGAGGGAGAGGAGAAAGAGACAAGGAGGGGGAAAGAGAAGGAGAGGAGAAAGAGAAAGAAGAGAGGGAGAGAGAGAGAAGAACAGAGAAAGAGGGGGGAGACAGAGGAGAGGAAGGGAGAAAGTGAAGGTGGGAGAGAGAAAGGAGGGAGAGAGAGAAAGAGGGGGCAGACAGAGGGATGGGGAGAGAAAGAGTGAGAGAGAAGGCAGAGAACAGGAGAGAGAGGGTGGGGAGAGGGGAGTGAGAAAGGGAAGAAAGTAGAAAGAGAAAGAGGGGAAAAGAGAAAGAAGAGAGGGAGGGAGAAAGGGAGAGAATAAAAGAGAAAGAGGGAGAGAGAAAGGCGGGAGGGAGAAGAGGGAGTGGGGGTGGTGGAGGGAGAAAGAGAAAGAAAGAGAGGGACAGAGAAAGAGGAAGAGAAGAAAAGAGCAAAAGAAAGAGAAACGAGGGGGGAAAGAACAGAGGGGGAGAGAGAAAGGGGGAGAGGGAGAGGAGAAAGGAGGGGGAGAGAGAGATAGAGGAAAAGAGAAAGAGAGGAGGGAGAAAGAGAGAGGGAGAGAGAAAAAGGGAGAGAGAGGGAAAGAGAAAAAGAGGGAGAGAGAGGGAGAGAGGGAAAGAGGGAGAGAGGGAAAGAGGGAGAGAGGGAAAGAGGGAGAGAGGGAGAGAAGAAGAGAGAAAGAGGAAAAAGAAAAAAGAGAGGTGAAAAGATGGGGGAAAGAAAAGGGAAACAGGAGAGGGGGAGGGAGAGAAAAAGGAAAGAGAGGGAGGGAGAGATAAAGAGAAGAAGGAAGAGAAAAAAGGGAGGGGAAAAAGAGGAAGAAAGGCAGGTAGAGAGGGAGAGAAGAAGAGACAGGAGACAGGGGAAGAGGACAAAAACCCAACAGAGAAACAAGCCATCTTTGAAATCTACTCAAGGCACGGTAGAATCCCCCTGTGGGCTCACACAGGGAAGGTGCCAGGAAGGGCAACAAAAGCATCTGAGATGCAGGGTCTGTTGCTGTCACCACACTGACCATCACAGGGTGGGGAGGGAGAGGCTGAGAAAGTGAGTGCCCGTGTGTCCATCACGGAGCCACTCACAGGAGGGGAGCCCCTGTGGCTGGTGAGCAGACTTCTTAGCCCACTTCATAAATATTAGCAGTTGTATACACATAATCGAGAAACACGGGTTGTGAATTACATGACAAAGCTGGAACGTAATACCAACACAATCTTATAACTGCTCATACATTTTCATCATAGGTGGGTGTCCTGGGTAACAAAGGTATTGTCATGTCACACGGTGGGCCCAGAACAAGCACACATTTTGATCGGAAATGAGTTGAGAAAGACCTCTGCTCAACACATGATCTGGAACAACAAAGATTTTCTGAATTGTGACCACTGAATCAATATAATTTTTTTTAAGAGACAGGGTCTCGCTTTATTGCCCTGGCTGGAGTACAGTGGTGCAATCATAGCTCACTGCAGCCTAGAATTCCTGGGCTCAAGGGATTCACCTGCCTCAGCCTCTTGAGTAGCTGAGACTACAGGTACCTGCCACCACTGCACTCAGCTAATTTTTATTTTTACTTTTTATAGAGATAGGGTCTTGCTATATTGTTCAGGCTGGCCTTGAACTCCTGCCCACAAGTGATCCTCCTGCCTTGGCCTCCCAAATTGCTGAGTGTTGGAAATGCTCGGTGTTACAAAGAAAAATTAGCACTGAAACAAACGATCTTTTAGCAATGCAATTTTTACTTCCTGGACTGCAGGAAGGGTACCCTCGCTAGTCACTGTGCCATGAGAGTACAATGAACAAGGAAAACACACAAATTTATCACTTGTCTGTGTGATAACAATGAACAAAGGAAAACACACAAATTTATCCTTACTGCTGTGTCTGATCTCTGTTGGCTGGAGCCAGACCTCACAATCTAAACTAAAACCCTATTGGTTAACAACTTAAAACTTTTCTGAACAGCTAAAAGCAACGGAGAGCTGGGACATGCCTGTGAGCATGTCCAGCACAGACAGCCTGGTTATAGTACAAGGACATAGAATGTACTATGTGCCCGTAAGCATGGCGTGTCTCACAGCTACAGAGGATAGGGCCTAACAGTTATTAGCGCACTTACTCTCTAACAAGAAAGGAAGCTTTAAAAGGCACTTTTCTACTGTCCACACTGAGATTACAGGTGTGAATCATTGTGTCCAGCCATGAACAGATAGAAGTTTTGAAAGAAAAACCTCTCTGCTTTCCCCTGTGCAAACTGCCTTTTCCTTATCCTCATCTTCCCAAAGCCAAAAACAACCCCCCCCCAAAAAAAACCCACCAAGTGAATCAATCATTAGGCAAATTTAACTTCAGTGAATTATTCCTAACTCCGTCATTCCTCCATTAAGTGACAATTCATCTATCAAAGTCCTCACTTCTTTCAATTACCTGGCATGTGATTCCACCCAAACTCAGAAAC